GACCCCTCCCCCGAGGGTCCGTCAGCGATGGTGGTGGCCAGGGAGGAGGAGGAGGAAGAAAGGGAGGAGGAGGAGGAGGAGGAGGATGAGGTTAAGGAGGAGGAGGAGGAGGAGGAGGAGGAGGAGGAGGAGGAGGAAGAGCAGGAGAAGGAGGAGGAGGAGGCGGAGGAGGCGGAGGAGGAGGAGGAGAAGGAGGAGGAGGAGAACCAGTGGAAACCCAAGAGTCATCAACGATGTTGGAATAAGCCCCCCCCTCTAAGCTACCTCTCCATAGGCCCCTACAACGGTTCGTTTTCACTGACGGAGCTGCCTCGTTGGAAGACACCGTTTGAAGACCCTAAAGTATGCCAAAATAAGGTTCTTGGGATTCCAACATCAAGGATCAACCTGACCTTTGCGTCTTGCCGATCTGGACGATCTTGAATCGTGACAGAACACCGTTCCTGCGACTTCAACTCAGCGAACCAACGTAACTGTTGACCCTCGTAATCCTGAGTCCTTCCAAAATAACCGTTCCTGGTACGCTGATCATGGGAGTCTTTAACACTTTGCAATGTTTGAAAGCGAATGTGCGCGGCGCTAAGGCCAAAGCCACATTTTGAAAAAGGAACCGTCCTCAATCCGTGAAACTCCTGCAAATGTTTAGATCGAATGTGCGCGGCGCTAAGGCGAGAGCCACACTTTGCAAACCACCCGCCCTCAATCCGTGAAGCTCTTGCAAATCTTTAAAGCGAGTGTGCGCGGTGCTCAGGCGAGAGTCACATTGTGAAAACCACCCGCCCCCAATCTGTGAAATTGTTGTCATAGTTGAATCTTCAGGGTCATAAGTGGTGAGGAAGTCTCAAGCGAACGCCCGACCCGCCCAACAAGTTGGCCTCGGGGTGCGACAGGGATAAGTTATTTATAAGGAAAATGGATGGTGGAGGAGGAGGAGGAAGCAGATAGAGGGGGGAGGAGAGGGAGGATGCGGATGAGGAGACGGAGGAGGTTGAGGACGAGGAGTAGGGGGAAGAGGGAGGACGGGAAAGAAGAGGGGAGGGGATATATGGATGAAGGGAGGAGGAGGAGGAGGAGAAGGAGGACAAGGATGATGATGATGACGATGATGATGATGATGATGATGATGATGATGATGATGATGATGATGATGATGATGATGATGATGATGATGATGATGATGATGATGATGATGATGATGATGATGATGATGATGATGATGATGATGATGATGATGATGATGATGATGATGATGATGATGATGATGATGATGATGATGATGATGATGATGATGATGATGATGATGATGATGATGATGATGATGATGATGATGATGATGATGATGATGATGATGATGATGAGGAGGAGGAGGAGGAGGAGGAGGAGGAGGAGGAGGAGGAGGGGGGAGGGAGGAATGGGAGGCGTAAGAGTGACCCTTCGCAGGAGTAACCTTTGGTGCTGGCCCACATCAGGCATGTCCTGGATGAGGATACGTCGCTGCAGAGCGGTCTGGAACGCTCGCAGATTGTTTTGGAGCGCTCTGGGACCGCCGCGGCGCCCCGCGCACCCTCCAGACCCGCCAGCTTTCCGAGATTCCCGATTCATCCTCACCCGATTTTATGATGCCCATCCTGCCTTCGTCGTATCAGAGGGGGTCCCCTCCCGCACTGGCTTGCGCGCCCGGAGCTGGCCCCCCCCGCCCCCCCGTGGCCACCCGAAGCCGCGTTCCAAAGGTCACTTCTGCCCAGGGCCACTCCTTCGCGTACGCTACAGGAGCAGGACCCGCACCTCCGATGTCGCGTCTATGAAAGCGTGGCCACGGGATCTCTCGATCCCATCTCCGGGACCAGACTCTCATCCCGAGTTGCTCTTCCAGGGCCCCAGGACCCAGAAGCGGCCCCCCAGAGGCCGAACATGGCGAAGACTCCGCCCTGTCTTTTTCCCAGGACGTGGGAGGTTTGGGAGGAGCACGAGCTGGCGGCGCGCACAAGGGGGGGTTGCGCGCTGGGGGAGACCTTCTGAGAAGGCGGGGGGCTTCTCAGAAGGCACGGGCCCTTCTTAGAAGGGCCCAGGACGCTGCTCAAAGGCTGGAAGGGCTTTCGAGGAGCCGCCTGCCTTCTCAGGCGCCCCCACGCCTTCTTAAGAAGGCCGCCCCCTCCTTGCACCGGCCTCTTGTGCAGGTCGCCAAGTTGGAGGACCGGGAGGACCTGAAGGATCTGACTACTCGTGCAAAGCTTCGAACCTCTCGCACGCTGGCGAAAGAAAAACCTCAGTCGTCTTCTAGAAAGGTCAGCGAAATTCGACCCCGAGTCCTCGCGCTGGGGCTGAGACCGTTCCCAGCCCACGAGCGCATCTGGGGAGACAGAACCGTGGAATTGAGCGACGCGGGAAGCGTTCAGGATCGGGAGGTGCAGCAGGCGCACGCGCATGAGGATGACCAGGGGCAACGACAAGGGGGGACTGGCCCATGGGGGGAAGCATCGACCTTCAATCTCACATTCATCGCCAATCGGTGCCTGAATCCCCAGCCCCGCCCTGGAACGTGTGGTTTTGCTATCGGGGGCCATCGCCGATCTTTCGGCGATGCATCGGAGGATGATGAAGAGGAGGAGGATGAGGAGAAGGAGGAAAATGAGGGGGATGATGATGATGATGATGATGATGATGATGATGATGATGATGATGATGATGATGATGATGATGATGATGATGATGATGATGATGATGATGATGATGAAGAAGAAGAAGATGAGGATGATGATGAAGATGATGATGATGATGATGATGATTATGATGATGATGATGATGATGATGATGATGATGATGATGATGAGGAGGAGGAGGAGGAGGAGGAGGAGGAGGAGGAGGAGGAGTTCCGTAGCCATTTTTGGCTCAGGTTGAAACCTCGGAGCCCTCAGGGCTTCAGCTTGTTCGCAGCCGAGGGGGCTGGCTCTGACGACATTGGGCACATGGCCCGCGGCTTCTTTTCACTGGACCCGCGCGGGTCCCCAGCAGAGCATCGCCCCTTCCTCAGATTGCTGGCTCCAATGCCAGCTGTGGCTTCAGATGATTCGAAACGGCGAAAACTGGCGAGTCTGTTGTTGCTTCTCATCAGGTGGATACGTGGAAGCATGTGGGCACCACTAAAGGAGAGGTTATGGCTGCCATTGCTTAAGTCCCAGATTCTCTCACGAGGCTGTCCAACTCGTTCACCAAGGGCTGGAACAGTGTGGAAGAGAAGTTGGAATCCAAAGTCGACGGCCTCTCCACGAATCAGGGTGAGCAGGAGGCGAGGATCGACCACCTCGAGGAGCAGATCAAACACCTTCACCAGATGCTTGGGAGCATAAAGACAGAAACACCAATTCCTCCTGTTGCTGTGTTTTCTGACTTCGATCGCGACGTCGACGAGTGCATCCTCATTCTGCGCACCAAGCTGTCGGCAACATGTGCCAATTTTCCAGCCGCGGTCCATGAATGGCTTCAGCGCGCACATATTGAAGATGGCGATGTGAAGTCGGAGGGAGATGAGACAACGAACGAACACATCATACGCATCATACGCGCCCGTCTTCATGCTGCTCGCAAAGTCCAGCAAACATTGGGTGCCTTTCGCCTGCCCAACAACGTTTGGGAGAGGTTCAAGGTGAACGCCGTATCAGGAACATCTCCGGAGTTGTTCATTTCGCCAGACAAAGGCCAGGCGCAGGTTAAACGATAATTTACTCTCGAAAATATCCGCAGTTTGCTCGAGTTGCACTGCCCGTCGCTCATTATTACGGTGCCAACGTTGAATGAAAGGTGCCGACGCAGTGGAGGCCATTGGTCCGTGTGGACCCCCTTCTAGTCAACGTCCTTCCTAGGTTCGAGTTCTTGTCAGATACTTGACGTCACCTCTTGTTTCAGAAAGAGGCGCTCATCTCAGTTGTCAGAGCTAACCTCCGCCAGCAATAAGACGCGCAGTGGTGTATTTAGCCCGCTCTTCGGGAAGTGGGCCGCGCCTGAGGGAAAGCTAGCGGGATTGAGGCTTATGACGTGGAATGCCATGATGCTCTTTCGGTCCAGGTCCCACAAGTGCTCGGCTAAACTTTCTCGAGGTCATGTTCTGTGGCACGCCAGCCGCCTGGTTCCCATGCAAGAGACGCGCGGCACCGCACCCGAGTTGCGCGACTTTCTCTACCACGCCTGCCCGCACTTCGCTGCCGTCTCCTCGTTCTGTGCTTCCAGTCGTGCTGGTGGTCTTGTCGCTCCCATCCCCAACTTCAATACGTACGTGTTCTCTTCTTCTTCCTCGCGTCCTACCATTACTCGGAATGTCGTGGTTCCCGGTCAAACGTTAGAAATGTTTGTGATTTTTCCTATGAAATTTGGACCAGTAACCATCAATATTCATTTAAATGGTTTATCTATCGTCGAACATCGTCGGGTTGCTGATGTGCTTCGTGCTCGTTTGTCTGACGGCAACCTAGAGGGGAATTTTTTATTCAGAACAGCTAGCGCGTGTTATTGTCGCATTTCACCCACCTACCCACCCACGCACGTAATCCGCGTTATGTTGCAGTATATGCGCGGCGAGGAGGGGTTGTGGCTTTGGGGTTGGGCGGTTGGCTAGGTTGTCTGCGCGCGTGGCGGCGGTGGCGGCGGCGGCTGCGGCGGCGGCGGTGTCGGCGGCGCGCGCGGCGGGGCGCGGCGGGGCGGGGCAGGGCGGGCGCGGGTGGGAGGGGGGGACGGGGCGGGGATTGCGCGAGCGGATATATCCATTTAGGAGAGACCTTGCACGGTGTATCCCAGAATTCAGCGGGGAGCTGCAGCTTTGCTGCAGGGGATAGGGGCGGGCGCGAGGGGGCATTGCACGAGGAAGGAAGCATCGAGTTAGGAGAGACACTGCGTTGAGATCCCGAGAATTAAGGAGGAGTTGTGGCTTTGGGGCGGGGCGGGCGGCTCGGTTGCGCGTGCGCGCGGCGGGGCGGGGCGCGGCGGGCGGGCGGGGGCGGAAGGGGGGG